CTCTCTCCGTCTCTGTGTGCCTCTCTCTCCCTCTCTGTCTGACTCTCTCTGTCTCTCTCTCTCTCCGTCACTAACTCACGCGCTCTCGCTCCATCCATCCCTCTCTACCTCCGCGCCCCTGCAGCGACACAGGTGTGTGAGAAGTTAGTCATGAGAGTTGTGTGGTGCCGTCTTAACATCGTCTGCTTGGTAGCGGCGGCGGCGGCGTGGACGCTAGGTAAGTGTACGTGCGAATTATATCAAGAGCTAATAATACCTAGAGTGTACGGGAAAATAACGGAAAAACGGGAAAATAGTGCTATTTCACGACAACATTATTCTACTTTGCTTGCAAGTCTAGAATAATTTTATGGTATTGCATTAAGCAGAATTCTTTGCTCTTTAAAACAATACCAACCGCTTGTCAATACGATACTCCTAGGCTAAGATATTGGCTCCTAAACCTCCCCTCCCACATGCCTCACGCTGCCTCGCATCCACTTTATTCAGCTACCTCAACGCCCCTAAGCATTTTGGCTATCGGTTTCCGTCAACGCTTGGAGCGCTGATAATTGATGTCACATGCCGTAATTTGGTACTCTTACTACACCATATAGTAACTGAACTGCGTTGTAGACACTTAATTTAGAAAACATTGCCGGCTCCATCATGACGGGCATTAGCCGTGCTAGGAAAGATAATGGAAGATAAGGGCATAGGCGATGCCCCTGAAAAAGTCACCTATGATAACCGAAGCGCCGTCCATTCATAAATTTATCGCGGAAAAACCGAACTTTCCCGAAGCAATGCTTAAGGGCGTTGAGGTAGCTGAATAAAGTGTATGCGAGGCGGCGTGAGGCATGTGGTAGGGGAGGTTTCGGAGCCAATATCTCAGCCTAGGAGTATCGTATTGACAAGCGGTTGGTCTTGTTTTAGAGATCGAAGAATTCTGCTTAATGCACCATAAAATTATTCTAGACGATCTGCAGCCGGATATCCGCGCGAAGCGCGAACAGCGCCGCGGAGCAGCACATTTTATCGGATTAGCTGCCCTGTTTAGAACACTGTTTCGACAGTGCCCTTTGGGAAGGGGATAAAGCGCTATAATCGGTCAATTGAGGAGTTGTGGCGATTCCACAAGCCTTTCGACTATGCACGTAGGTCGAGAATAAATACAAATGCTCGTAATTGCTCGTTTGCTGGCTGGCGCGTTTGCTTTTCCTCTAGAAAAGCGAGTTTGCATTTCTTCCGTTTCACGCCGTGAAGTTATTCTCGTACATATGGCGTCCCATAGATGGCGCCACGAGGCCCGGTACGAGGCATTTTCAAGGTATTTTTCCACACAAGGGTCGGCCATTGAACTTAGACTGCTGCGCGGTAGAGAGTTCCACACGCTGCACTAACTATAAGTTGAGTGTAGCGAAGGATACTTGGCGGAGTGAAGNGGGGACGGGGACGGGGACGGGAGCGGGGAGGGAGCGTGGTGGTGAGGGAGCAGGGCGTGGCGTAGGGGCGTGGGACGGGAACGGGGACGGGAGCCGGGAAAATTAACTCGGTCCAACCCCGCGTCCCGACAATAACCACCTTCTGTTACATAGGTCTGGACGGCTTGAATTGCCGGTGTGGCAATGAGCCCGGCAAACTAGGACGGCTAGCGGAGAGTGACTGTGATTTGCCGTGTGTCGCCGACGTCAGTGTGACGTGCGGGGGCGGCAACACCATCAGCTCTGTCTACCGTATACACCAGGGTGAGTGCAGTCACGGTTAGCAGTTATATGTCATCATCATCATCATCATCATCATTATCATCATCATCATCACCATCATCATCATCATTATTATTATTATTTCCAAAGTGGATCATGGCATTAGCCGGTGGCTTCTGGGTTGGCCGTGTCCCAACCTGGGACATAGGGATTCTTTCCAGAATTTTTCGCAGGATGTGTGCTGTTCCCAGTAGTGCGAGTTTCTGCCCTTCTTGGGCAGTGTGGTAGCCAGGGAGTTCTTTAAGGTTCTTCTCAAAACCATTCTTTATATAGCCAAGGGCTCCAACCACCACTGGTACAATTCTCGTATTAGTATTCCACATACTCCTAATTTCGATCTCCAGATCTTTGTATTTGGTGAGTTTGTCTCTTTTCTTCATCATGATATTAGAATTATCTGGTACGGCTACGTCAATCAACAGGCATCGTTTTTCTTTCCTGTTGTGGAGCACTATATCAGGGCGGTTTGCAGGTATCGTGCGATCTGTCATGCACTGCCATATCCCACATTATGTTAGTATCTCTGATGTTCGTAACTGGGCTCGGAGTATGTTCATACCACTTGTCAGGTACTTGCTCACCAAGTTCAGTGCAGATTGACCAGTGCAGATAGCTGGCTACCTTGTTGTGGCGATTTATGTACTCGGTTGGGGCCAGCACTGTGCATCCGGTGATGATGTGGCTGATGGTCTCCTCTGCCTTGCTGCACATTC